GTTCGTTAATTAGTGAACCATCGAAGTGTACGAACGAGACGTGCAGATTTACCTCGGTTTCAATCTGCTAATCTTTTTCCCATCAGATTTTCCCAAGTGATTCAATTAAACTTCCCTTTCATCTACCATTAAAAACTTCCTTTGAAATATTCAAACTGAAAGCTATCTATTATGAATACGCGCACGATGTACAAGAAAAGACATTTCCTAATCTCTATAATTAACAATAAAATAAATAATTACAGTTCAGTTAAAGCTATAATTGAAACCTTTTACACAGAATTATTCATTATTCATTTTTTGCACGCGTGTTGTCTGGATTTTCGATATAAACCCATAATTGAAATATTGTTTCCGCAATTAAATCATTTGCAATGCAATTAGACTCGATTTTCATTCGGCATCAATTATTGAAGCGTAAATTGCGTTTAATGGAAATAATAATGGAACGAAACAAACAACAAAAAATATTTGGAAAACCATTACTCTGCGTTGTCCAATTTTTTTTTGTTGTTGTCCAAGGATGATGTTTTTTTCGTTCTATTCGCGTTCTGTGTGTGCTTGTGTCAGCCATCCTTCATTGAAGTGGAAGTAAAACATAAAGGACTGACTGGAAGGGAGGTTTTGCGGCGATACAGACAAAAATATGGGTGGCATAACCACCGTGTGCGTTCATTTATCAACGTCCATTAACCGAAATCGTAACGCGTACATAAATCTCATAGTCTCTCTCCCTTTACATCCACTATGTACGTGTACTTTATCTCTTTCCCTCGACACAGTATTGAAGCCCGAAATTAAAGTTTTTAATATCCATAGATTACAAAAAAAAAAACCTTTTTATCCCTAAAAAATTCGAGCTTGCACATTTTTATCTCCCTTTACCTAAACAAAAATGTTATACAATTCAGCAACTTCCGTCTCCTCTCAAACTTATACATTTTTTCCTTCGATCCAGTCAGTTATAAAGCGTAAATTCAATTTCATTATCCTACAGTTTCGAATTGATGTTATTCCTGAAGAATGTTATTAAGTAGCTCGAAGCATAATGCCGTCAAGGATGTTTCTGCTTATATATAATTCATGAGTTTACGTGTGTATATTCATGTACATGTGTTGTGTTTGTGCGCGCGGGTTGAGTAGTGGAAGAGCAAAGTTTCAAGTGCTCCGAGAATTACCTGGAAAGGCGCTTAAAACAACACAATTAGACTACATTTTTAATTAAATCTAAAACGCTTTTTCCATTAATTATTTCGCGCGTTTCTCATACACCCCTCGCAATCTCAATTCTCCTGACAAACGCAATTAAACTTTAAAAGAATTTTTTTTATTCTATTCACTTGAAAAATTGATCCACTGCAAAATAAATAAGTTTAAATATATAATTGAACAGAAAATGTATTCATATTTGAACGAGAAAATTAAAACGTCGGATGGTTTTTCCTGATCAAAAATAGACATATTTCTTAAATTCTGATTGAATTAGAAACATTTCTGTCTAAATGAAAAAGCTTATAAAACATATATTAAATTTTAAATGTAATACCTTAAATCTTAAAGCAAATATGAAACTGTTATTGAAACTTTTGATGCTGTTTTTGCGGTCATTGTGAAAACCCTTGATATTGTTTGAAATACGAAGAAACTTTACTATTTTTATACCAATATTTACAGATCAATAACAATCAAAAGTATTGCATGGTTTTGAGAAGCAAGAAATAGAAATTACTGTTAAAAAAAACCTATTTTTATAAGAAATGAATATGAAAGTTAAGTAACTTTAGCTGTGGTTTAGCAGAAAGACGTGACTCTATAATTTGTGAGAAAGTATTACGTAATTATTAACATTTTCTTTAATGTAATTCAATTAAATATCATTTTTTTTTTAATTAAAAAGTAAAACTAAATTTCACTGTATACAGTAAATCATTTGAACGAGAAAATTAAACGTCTGATGGTTTTTCCTGATCAAAAATAGACATATTGCTTAAATTCTGATTGAATTAGAAACATTTATGTTTTAAAGAAAAAGCTTATAAAATATATATTAAATTTGAAATGTAAAACTTTAAATCTTAAAGCAATTATAAAACTGTTATTGAAACTTTTCATGCTGTTTTTGCGGTCATTGAGAAAACCATTGATATTGTTTCAAATACGAAGAAACTTTACTATTTTTATACCAATATTTACAGATCAATAACAATCAAAATATTGCATGGTTTTGAGAAGCAAGAAATAGAAATTACTGTTAAAAAAAACTATTTTTATAAGAAATTAATATGAAAGTTAACTAACTTCATCTGTGGTTTAACAGAAAGTCGTGAATCGATCATTTGTGAGAATGGATTATGTAATTATTAACATTTTCTTTAATGTAATTCAATTAAATATCTTTTTTTTTTAAATTAAAAAGTAAAACTAAATTTCATTGTATACAGTATATCATTTGAACGAAAAAATTAAAACGTCTGATGGTTTTTCCTGATCAAAAATAGACATATTTCTTAAATTCTGATTGAATTAGAAACATTTCTGTCTAAATGAAAAAGCTTATAAAACATATATTAAATTTGAAATGTTAAACTTTAAATCTTAAAACAAACATAAAACTGTTATTGAAACTTTTGATGCTGTTTTTGCGGTCATTGAGAAAACCATTGATATTGTTTCAAATACGAAGAAACTTTACTAATTTTATACCAATATTTGCATTTATTCCAAAAGTATTGCATAGTTTTGAGAAGCAAGAAATAGAAATTAATGTTGAAAAAAACCTATTTTTATAAGAAATTAATATAAAAGTTATCTAACTTTAGCTGTGGTTTAGCAGAAAGATAATTTGTGGGAAAGGATTACGTAATTATTAACAGTAAATTGAGTAAATTTTCTAATTAATGTATAATTAAATATGTTATTTGCAATATTAACTAATCAATTATTTGACTATAATATAGTATAGTTAACATTATTATAGCGCATTATGCACGTAATAAATGAATGAAGTAATTGAAACAACACACACAGACAATATCATTTCACGATTCGAAACAAATGTTTCAACAATAATGCAGAATTGAATTCGTTGCATTTCCACTAAATCCACGCTGCGCACTGTTTACCTATAATTTATATTTATTTTGTTAGTAAAACAGGGAATGTAAAAATTGTGGAACTTTATGACTTCAATAAAAGCGAACTTCCATTACCGTACATCGATATATTGTTTTTTTTTTTGCAGTATCATGGGAATTCCGAAACAAAATTTGGTAATAAAACTAAATAAAAGTTTCATCATCAATTATTATGGATTTATTGATATTAAAGTTTAATTTACTTCAATTTCAATTAGTTCATTAAGTTATCTAACAAATTGTAGGATAATTCAAATACTGTGTGTCAAATATATTGTTGCTATGGTAATGTTTATTTATATGTTTGAGCCATTGTGTGATGGTCGTCAATGGAAACAAATACTGTTGTAAATCGATGCAGCGCGTCCTTTAATGTCAGCAATTGGCTTCGAATTGCCGGTCTCAAAGCGTAATTAGATACGTACCATCAAACAGTCTATATTTCCATTGACGTAAAACAGTATTCACTTTGACCGTTCCCCCACGGTTATCAAATCAGTTGCAATTAATGGTGGTTAATAGTTATTCCATTCAAAGTCAAAAATAAACATACGCAAATGCACGCGTAAGTTGTAATTAACCATTAAATGATTGATTTGAAAGATGATCCTTTAAACCGATATAAACCGCCAAATATTGACAATCGCTTAAGCGACTTTAAACTTCGGCGGCGGTGTTTGTTTTCGCTAGATGATCGATGATCGAGAACTCTATGAATTATGATTGCTAAAAAAACAAAGCAAAAACGAAAATCAATCAAATTGTTGACTTAGATATGTAAATAATAATTTTGCAGATTTACACTTTAATACAATTGATAGCATTTCTGAAATTGTTAGTTTGCTAGTGTTAATAATGTAACGGTGGTGTTTGCGTTAGGGTTAACCCGTCGATACATTATTTACGTAATAAATGTATTTGTTGCCGCGCTGCGAAAATTTAACTGGGGCACGAAGTGACGCAACCAAACGGGGCACGTCTGAAATACCGTCGGCGGTATTTAATTAAGCAGGATATATCACTTCTGTACTCTTAACTGAACCTGGCCTTTAACTAACTAGCGTAACCATCGAAGGGGGATGTCTGACGTGGTGCTCCCAGTGATAAATTCCGTTTAATGTATCACTCTCAATAGCCAAACCTGAATTCTCTATAAATTCATCGATGGAAAGCGTCACATTACGTAAATTTATATTAATATGAATATAGCAACAGTTTCAAACGTAATTCGTAGTAATTTCTATTAATTTTATCACTATGACAACAATTCAAAAGTTGTCATGGAAATTAATATTAGTTTATTAAAACTGTAACTATTTTAAAGAAATGATCATTTTTTTTTGCTTATAATTAATCAAGTAATAAAGATTTTAAAAGATTAAAGTAAATGAGTTTTTTTCACAATTTCTAATAGGAAATGTTCATTAAATAAAGTAGAAATCAGCTGCATTTTTTTTTGTTTTATTTATTCGTTAAATATTTACGGTTATCGAATTTAATTATTCTCGCGTAAGCGAATAACTTCTTCTTTTTTTTTTGGTAATAAAAAAAAAATATGAAACGAACGGCAATATAGGAAATTAGATTTTTATATCTGCAAGCCGCGTTTTCATCCCTCGCATATAAATTTCTATTCCTACAGTATTTTACGTCCTGAAAACGTTTCAATTTTATTGCTTCGTCGTTCGAAACCAAAAACTTTTGCTCGCTCATTCATTCCACTTAAACCAGATCGATACATCCATTAGTAAATATATATATATATATATGTTAAACCCTTGCTGATGTAACGAGAAGACATTTTTTTACAAAAAAAAATTATTTGTTTTAAACACACATTTTTCTATACTTCTTTTGCTCACTCACCCCGCATTGTTTCCGGCTGTTAGCGATCAGCTCTGATACAAATTCAGATCAATGTCGCATTCAGATTGTCGCGTCAAGGACGTGTTTAATAATTGTAACAATACTCGAAAACCGAACGCGTTTCATTCCCTTTCTTTTAATTAACGAACGAACGATTAAACCCGGATCACATAATTTATTTGCTTCTACTTGAGATGAAACAAGATAACTAGTTGTTAACTTATGTAAGGATTACGATCACATGTTTTAGTTAATACATACTAAGATTGAGTGTGCAAGATTTGTTTTTTGGCTATCACATTGTTGATTTATTTAATTTAATTATTTGGGGGGGTGTATTTTTTTTTAATTTAGTTATTTAAAAAAAATAATCTTTTGACACTTTTGTTGTTGTTTTTTTTTAAATTGTTGTTAGTGGAGTTGATGGAATTACGAGCGATGATAGATGGCAGTGGATTACGGTATAATATTCTCTCGTGTTTCGGCTCGAAGGTTCGGCACTCGACTGCAGGCCGAGGTCAGTCTCGCTCGCAGGAGGTAGTCCTGACGCTCGCGGGGGTGACGTTCGCAGGATCGATGTTAGCGATGTGCGCATGTCCTTGAACGAACACCCTAAACACCCCTGCATCTCTCTGCAGCCCTGCACGAATGCTAATTGCTGATGGCAGAAGAGTGCGATCGCGTTACCATCTCGCAAAGGATAAAAACAGCGATGTGCAGTTTATGAAATTAGAGAAAAAGGGATTGATTGTCATGAAGATAGGGTTCTTCGCTTTTGAGAAAGGGTTTAATCTTGCTCATCTTCTCAATTTACACGCTCACTTCTTGCAGAGGAACATCAAATGGGGGGACTGGGACTCTTCTCTAGCATTTAATGTTACCTCCACCTGATTCCCAAGTAGATGCTTTCTCTCTGACTCGCAGTCTTAATTCCATTTGCATTTGTAAATGCTACTACATCAATGGGTTGGATTACGCGGGTCGCGTTTAACATGCAAATTGTATACGACTACTGGTTTAACATAAGCTTTTGTCTGATGCACTCCAAAAATACACGTTATAATCCGCGTCGCATTCGAGCTCAGATGCTGTAACGTAATATCGGGGATTCCACGCACGGACGCTTCGAAAGAAAAACGGAAAGCCACCCTTCTCAAACATCCCATCCAATATGATGAGTCTTTTCCACAAGCCCCAACAGTTCTTTACAGAAACCTCTCTATCTCTTCAACAACACCATACACACACAAAAAATATACATTGAGAATACTTCAAATTTTAACACTGATAAATGACCCTAAAATTAGATAAACAAATCTATACAATCCAACTAATAACATTTCAAAGTATTGCTTAACTATTTTAACTAATAAAGCAGCTAAAAGAATCCAATTGATTCCTAAATTTTTATTTATTCTAATTCTCATGAACAAACACAAAATCTACCATCAGTTATTTCTTGAATTACATAAGATTACAGACGTTACTCACGTAAAGATCAGCCCTCTGTCATCCACCCTTGACTTTACGACTCGTTATTTATTGTTTCCTCTCCTTTTTTCTTTACAATGATTACACCTAACCCGTTTTTATTACTATACCCTTACCCTCGAAATGCTCCATCCTTTATAGACGTTCTTCCTTATGTTATTTTTCCCTTCCCGCGAAAATAAAGTCAATAACATTGAAGATCTACATCTGGAACGAATAACGTTCGAAGTCAATTGGGTTTATAGCAGAATACTTATATTTATAATAATATTATTTGTAAATTGAAGAAAAAAAAACTTAAAATTTAACAAATAGAGAAAGAAATGTAAATATTTTTGATTACGTCTGTCTAGTTTCAATTTAAATGTAACGAACGTTAAAAGTGGAGATATCATTGTCGACGTTGCTTGCGCAAAACTCGCTCGAAGACGTAATGGCATGGACTTAATGAGTTCTGCGAGCGGCGGTGGTATCTGCGTATTCAACGTCGAAAGTCGAAAACGTATTTAATAAACCATCAAAGAAAATGCGACAATGCACGCAACGAACTGAAGAACACGTAACATCAAATCACCAACATTTTCTCAATCTAATTTAAAAATAAAATAACTATATAATTCAATAACTTATATGTTGAAATAACCTGTGACCTGTGACCAACGTTCCAGCAGCAACAGAAGAGGACTACGTGATCCCTTATTCTTGTGGAATTTCGACTGTCGCTATTTGCTTCCTCCCATGTACAGGTCTTATGTTTTTGACGCAAACATCCGTATCTGCTGCGGCTCTCAGTGCCTTTTCCACCTTGCTGATGGTTGTCTGCTCATCGATGCAGATAGTGATCATGCTTTTTTCAGCTATATCAGAAGTGATTTCGACACTAACTTCCTCTATGTTAATGCTCATCAAATCTAGGACACTTATATAAAAAAAAAGGAAATTTATAAATTGTAAACAGAAAATTCAATTTATTTGTACTATAAATATTTCAGTTCATAATTGATGATAAATGTTATTAAATTTTCTGAAAAGTTTATGATTTTTATTGTAAATTGATAAGTAAAGTAAATGAAACATCTTCAAAAAACGTTTAATTATTTGTTTTTTTTTTCAGAAAATCTTATATAAAAAAGTGATAATTTATAAACTGTAAAGATAAAATTTAATTTATTTGTACTATGAATATTTCAGTTCGTAATTAATAATAAATTTGATTGAATTTTCTAAAAAGTTTTTGATTAGTAAAATAAGAGACATTTTCAAAAAACGTTAAACTAATGAAAAAAAAAGATCACTTTCTTATGAACAATTATTATTTAATAACCTTCTTTTTTTAATAAATCATGTGTAAATTAGTAAAAACGTAAATATTAGATTTGAAATAAGTAATGAATTATTTAACATTGGTTTTCGTATGTCTCGAATTTCGTACATAAAACTAAAATCCCATAGAA